AGACCCCCTCCTCCCCAAAGCCTGGAGCATCATGGGAAATGTCTCCTCGTGACCCCAGCTCTGGCCCAGCCCCCTGGAGCACTGGACTCCAGGCTCAGTAGCGGTGCCACACCCCTCCTCACTGAATGAAGAGGACTTTCACACGCTTCTAATCTTGTCTTGGCTTCATTGGACTGGATGAAAGAGGGAATCGAGGCACTAGGGGAAGACAAGTGGCCCTGATGGGCAGGCAAAGATGAAGGGTCTCATCCTCTAGCCTAGAGAATAAAACAGATAAAGGGAGGTTTCCCAGCCTGAGCAGAGAAGAGAGAGACCATGGGGGTAGGGGTTGGGGGTGGAAGAGGAGAACTAAAAGCCTCATTTCTAACGGGACTGATAATGTGGGAAGAAGCAAGGCAGCCTCTGCTGGTCCTTGGAGCCCACTAGAGGCTCCGAATGAGTCTCTACTCTGGGAGGTGTGACCCCCTAGAGCCGGCTGCCCAGCGCGATGACCACCAGCCACATATGCAGCTATAAGCACTTGAAACAGGGTTAGTGCAGATTGACATGGGCCATGAGAATAAAATACACACTGAATTTTGAAAACTTAGTAGGAAAAAAATTTTAGCACATGTCATTCATAATTTAAAAGTATTGATTTTATGTTGAAATAATTCTTTGTCTCTATTGGGCTAAATAAAATACAAAGTTCATCTCACCTGCTCCTTTTCACTCTTATATAAATGGGGCTATTAGGAAATGTAAAATCATGTATATCCAATATTTCTATTGGACAGTGCTGTTTTAAAGCACATTCACTCATTTATTCCACAAATCTTTGTTGGGTGCACCAGTTCTATGCTAGGCCAGGTGCTGAAGATTAGAAGGTGAGCAAAACCAGACCCTGTCTCTGGATTCCTGGCATTTACAGTAATCAAATAATTGCTCAAATGGTCCCTGATTGCAAAGAGTTCTGAAGAAAAGGAGTGGAACATAATGTCCTCTGGACGTGAGATCGAGAAACTGGATTTGTCTAGATTATGGTGAGAGCCTCCCCAAGAAAGCACTTGGGAAAGAAGGAGCAGGTGTTCCAGACAGAAAGGACAGCATGTGCAAAGGCCCTGTGGCCAAATGGAATATTGAAGCTTGAAGAATTGTAAGAGGGCCATGTAGGGGGATCCCAGAAGAGGATGAGGATGGCTGGAACAAGGCAGAGAGTGCAGAGGAGGTGGGAGGGGCCTCACGCACCTCTCTGAGAGCCACATTACAGATGGGAGGCTGATAAGTATTTTTGTCCTTGTGGGGGAATTAGAGAAAGAGGCATGGAGGTAAGGGTGGAGGAGGGCAGAGAGGGTTTCTCTGCAATGTGCTGGGGGAAAGGGGTGCCAATCTGTGGTATGATGGCTATCAGGCTCTCTGCTCTGCTGCCCCCGGGGACCCTAGGTCAGTAGGAGCCCTTTCCATCCCCCCTTCTCAATTCTGTGTGATCTGAGGAGTTTTTCTGAATGACCTCTTCTCACCATTGCTGAGGCTTTCTTTACTTCAGGCTGCCACTGACTTCCACTTCCCTGCCTCTTCTGCCACACTCCAGCCTCCGAACTGCAGCCAGAGCGAGGGCTTTCTCAGAGGAAGTCTGTCTGTGGCATGCCCCACCCCCCTTAAAAATCCCTCAGTGGCTCCCCAGTGCTCTCAGAACGTAGTCCAGACCCCTTAGCCTGTCTCTTTGTGAGCCCTTCCCCATCTGGCCCCACTGCCTTCTTTTCTCTCTGGGCTCCAGGCACAGGAGCCTTGCCGTGCCCGCATGTGCTCTGCTGTCTCTCTCTTTGGGGCCTTTGCTGAGCTGCGTCCTCTGCCAGTAACGCTCTCCTCCCCCAGCCTGTTGACTCCATTCTCAGTAAGGGTTCAGCTTCAACATCCCCTTCTTGACAAGTCTCCAGACTTGAGCGCCCTCAGCTTCAACATCCCTTTCTTGACAAGTCTCCAGACTTGAGCGCCCTCAGCTTCAACATCCCTTTCTTGACAAGTCTCCAGACTTGAGCGCTCTACTCACCCCTGGCGTGGCACGGCACACCACCCAGGCCCTGTTTGCTGTCTCCCGCTCGGGATCCCTGGACTGTGTCTCCCTTATTCCCACAGGCAGCATCTGGCTCTCCCCCACCAAATTAGAGGCATTTCCCCCCCCAACAGAATGGGGGCCCTCTGAGGGTGGGGATTGTACCTCCCTCATCAGAGGAGAGGTACCCAAAGTCCAGGGCTGTGTTTTTTCCAGCAGACAGAAGGCTTCCTCAAGACACAGCCTGTCTCCCCCATCACGCCTGAGGTTATCCGAGTACCAGATCGTCTCATCGACTCCGAATCACCCTCCTCCACAGGCACTCCTCACAGCCCTCACAGACATGGGGGTGGTGGTGGGAGATGGAAGGTAGCCCCACTCTCCGCCTCGTCTAATCCTTGGCTGGGGCTTGGCTGGGGCCCGGCTGGCCCCTGCATGATCCTGAGACCACGAAGATTTGTTTTGTTCTTTCCGGGAAGAGCAAGCCTCCCGTGGCCTTCCCCGGCAGCCATGAGCCAGCCCCACCAGAAGACCCGGCCAAGGGCCCAGCAGAGGCTGAGCTGCTCTGACCAGCTGCCGGACCAGCCTCAGAGAGGGGCACAGGCCTGGGGCCTGGAACCCTGCCGCTCCCAGGCCAGGCAGGGCTGGGAAGCCAGGCTGCCAGGAGCCGGGGTTGGGACCTGCCCCCCTCGAGAGCCGCAAGGGAGGGGCCTGCCTCAGCGCAGGCCAAGCAGCCAGGCTCCTGCCAGGCCATCTGGAGCCAGAGCCTATGTGTGTGCTTGTGTGTGGGTGTGAGTGTGCGGCTCCCAGGCCATGTGGGTGGCTGGGAGCTGTGGGGTTGTGACCCGGCCCTCCTACCCAGCCTCTGGCTCCCCTGTGGTCAGTTTCACGTCTGACATCTGGTCAAGTTCACAGCTGGCCGGCTTCCTGCGTGGTCATTTTCACTTTTTTCGCCAAAACCTGGGGGCAGAGGGCCCCCATGCCTTCCCTAACCCACTTAAATTAACTTTGTGGCTACACATGTGGATTTGCTCGATTTCTATGAACACTCCCCATTTTGTCGGGGGTCGGGGGGCGGGCGGGAGAGAAACAATAGGACAGGAACTCACCAAATTAGAAAGTATACCTGGGCCCCTCCCGCCACACACAACCCCCACTGGCTCCAATCACATGCATTTCCAGAAAATCGCTTTGCACTGGCTTTCTTTCTTTGCTATTATAATGTTCATCATTTATGTTTTATGTGTAGGTTTGAGGAAGGCCCAAGAAATGATTACACAGGATGCAAGGGGGAGGTGACAGGGAATCTGGGGCTCACAGCCCCAGCTGGGCGGCGAAAAGGATTTCATCTCAGCCCAAAGGGAGGCGGAAGGGGCCCCAGAACCAAACACATGCTAAAACATACTTGCGGTACCCCAACCCCCTTCCCAGCTGCTGGGGAGGAAAATAAATACACTCAGATCCTGTCCCGCTCTCCAGGTGCACAGGTGGGGGCCAGCAGGTGAGCGCCCCCCTCCCTCCCGTCAGACGGAGGTCACAGAAATGCCATCTACTTACAATGTTCCCACTGCCTTACACGGAGCTGGGAGAACCCTGGGCTGGGGATAGGGTAGCTGTCAGCACACACCCTGCTTGGGGTTTGGGGCTCGGTCATGCTAAATAGAGGGGCGCCACACTCATTCCAACATCCAGCAAAACAGAACAGGCCAGGAGGGACCTCATGAGACCTCACGGCCCCTTTCTGGCACCAGGCTAGGGAACCAACAGTCCTTTGCAGGGTCTTCTCAACGTGGGGAGGCCCTCTGCGGGCCACAGTCTCCCTCCGTTCCTTCTTGCTGCGTTCCCACACTGGTCCGCTTTTCTTCGCTGCAGCGGTCGGAGCCCAGCCAAACCCAGGCTCGCAGGAAAAGGAAGGATTGTGGGGGCGGGGAAGCATTCCTCCACGTGCAGGCCCTCGGAAGCCAGACGCCAGTTCAAGCCTCAGCCTTCCTTGGCCCGCCAAAGCAGGGGCGAGGGAAGAGGGCAAGCCGAGTTCAAATCCCTTCACTGCTTCTCTGGCAGCTGCCCTGGGCAGGATCCGGTCCCAGCCCAAGAGAAAAAACTTGTGGAGAAAAGCAGGATTGCTCTGTGTGTGTGTGTGTGTGTGTGTGTGTGTGTGTGTGTGTCCCAGGTTGGGGGCCTTTAGTCCCTGACCCCTGGGCCTGGCTCTAGGAGAAGACACTGCCTGTGTTGGCTCCGGGTCTGTGCTGGGATGGAAGCTACCAGCACACTGGGCCACACCGCGGATGCCACACTGGCATGCCCAAGCGGGACTGGCAAAGAAGAGCGGCATCCTTTTCCACAAACCTCAAACCATGCTCCATCAAGTCCACCTCTGACCGTGACGGATCAGTGCACCAGGCCTTGGGCGAAGCCTCCCATCGCCACAGGGGTTGGACAGGCCTGGAGGTGGTGGAGGGCACACTGGATTTGGCTTTGAGACATTTCCCAGAGGGTTCCCTGCCCCCCCACAACCCCTCCGCCGGCTCTCTAACATCAAGCAAACCTGAAGGCAGCACCCCCTAATTCAGAGAGCGGGGGGCCAGCCCATGTCTGTCCTCCCCATTGCTGGGTGGCTTTGGGCAAGTTGCTCCCTCTCTCTGGGCCTGTCTGTCCTATACATGAAACAAGGGGGTAGGACTAGACTTCAAAACCCCCTTGCAGCTCTGACAAGCCTCTGGTTGTCTTCATCTTGGGCCAGAGAGGAGGGTGAGGGGGCTGAGGGAGGACGTAGGCCACAGTGATGGTCCCTCATTCCCCAAGTTCACAGTGTAGAGCCCATGGCTCTGGTTCCTTGGTCTCTCCCTTTGAGTCTCTGGGGCTTTGTCATCACCCCCAAGACCGCCCTTGGTGTTAGCCCCCCAGGCCTGACACCTGCTGAGGTGGGAGGGGCTGGCCCACCTAGAAGTGTGGGGAGAGGGGAGCAGAAAATGCAGATGGGATGCTTAGGGGCAGGGGTGGGAGGGGCAGCAGGGGCCCTTCTGGCACCAGAGAGAGTGGTCAGAAGCGACGGGGCCACACAGGAGCCAGGACAGGGCAGTGGTGGAGGGGCCTGGGCCCCACGGCCCTGCCCAGAGGAGCTCAGCTCTGACGCTGGCCTGTGGGGGCGGCTGGAGCATCAGTCGTTGGAATGTGGGGGCAGGGCAGGGGCTCCGGGGGCGGCTCACACAGGGGACGTGGCCGTGGACTCGCTACACAGGCTCTCGACGATGTCGGCTCGCTGAATGCGGCGCAGGGCCGCCAGGAGGGCGTCGAGCGTCGCGCTGTCCTGGGCAGCCCAGCTGGCAAGCAGGGCTCGGACCGGGCAGGCCTCGTGGGTGAAGGAGTCTATGTGCTCCGGCTGGTAGCCCAGCTCACCGGCCAGGTGTCGCCAGGTGTCCCCCGCAGAGCCGTTGAGCAGCTTCTCCACCTCCTCCCGCTTGGCTGGTGGCAGACTGCTGTAGAGACCTCCGTCCCCCTTGAGGGCTGCCAAGAACCAGGGGGGCATCAGAGGCGACCCGCCACACCCCCTGCTCCCTACAGTGGGCATGGGGGCCCCTGGGCTAAGACCCAAGAAGGGCTGAGGATTTCTCCTCCTTGGTGGGGGGAGGGAGGAGGAACCTCCCCCCAGGGCCTGGAGGCAGAGGTCTTGGATGGGGGACAGGGCTGCAGAGGGGTCTGGGGGGAGCTGACTCGCCTCCCCTCTCACCCACAGCGTCAGCATTACCTTTGCCATCTCACCCTGCCTCCCCCTACCCACCCCCCCCAGCAATTGGGCAAGATGGCAGGCAGGGGAGGGACACCTCTCAGTCCCAGACTCCACCACAGCAAGTGTCCTGGAGCTGGGCTCTGGGCCACTAATTAGGGCCCATCATTAACTACTTGTTCCCCAGAAGTCTAGGGCAGGAGGCTAATCGCAGCCACTTTGGGGAGTAATTAGCCCTAGGGGGCACAATTAGCTTGATGAGTCTGATGCAGCTCTCCCTTCCCACATCTCTCCACTGGAAAGACCTCTCCTCCCCGATCGCTTGCCTGCTTCTCCCATCCCACACAGAGGCCCCGTTCCCTGTGAGCCGGCCCCTCCAGCAGTCCTTCCTACAGTCTACCCTTACTCACTCCTTTCCTCCCTACCTCAGTTTCCCCCTCCCCGCAGCCCCACTGCTCACCCTGGCCTGCGGCCGTCTGCGTGTGGGGCTGCTGGTCATGCAGGCTCTGGCTGTCCACTGAGATGCCACTGTCACTGTGAAGCTTTTCTCCCTCCGGCGGGGGTGTCTGGTTCGCGGGCCGGCTGTTGGCTCCTTGCTTGTTCTGTTTGTAGCTGTTCCACCTGGAGCCAGAGGACAGGCCCAGGCTCAGGGGGCGAGGGCCCGCACAGGCCAGGGACCTCAGGGATCTGTGCTCCGATGTGTGGGGGCCGGGGCCCTAGCAGGCCCCCCCAAGCAGAGCCACTAGACCACCTATGGTCCTTTTTCCTCTCCATCTCCACCCACCCCTGGCCTGTACCGGAGGCACTGTGCGGGCAGACGGGCTCTCAGGGCTCGGTGCACGCCACAAGGGTTCCACGAATGTTCGCGCGATGAATGGTGCGCCCGGTGATTTCTCCGGAATTCCACTGTTCCCAGTCTACCCTGCTAAACTACTCCCACATGTGTGCGGGGATATGCACCAGATTTCCTCTGCTATTATTAGCAATAAGAAAAAGCTGAAAACAAGTCAAACGTGCATCAAAAGAAGACTGTTCAAACAAATTAGGATCCATCCATACACCGAGTGAGCGCTTACAAACAATCAGATAATCCGAATGTCCTGGGGAAAGCTCTCTCAAGGGAGATTAAGTAGGAAAGGTAAGTTGTAGAATATGGAGAGTGGGAGCCCACTGATGCTTAAAAAAACAAAACAAAACAAAAAAACCTTCTCTATGTTTACGTCTAACTGTAAAAAGTTTTATGTACATGTGTTTATAAAGGCACAGAAAATGGCTGGAAAGGATCCATTCCAAACAGATTCCAATGAGAAGAGAGGTAGGATTTGGAGAGATAAAAGAGGCCTTTTACTTTTTGCTTTACAAGACATTGGTCTTGTTTGCATTTACCCAAACAAGCATGGATTACTTTGAAGATTTTCTTTTTAGGAATGGAAAATGCACTGGAACATTTAAAACACTTTCCAGGGGCGCCTGGGTGGCTCAGTCCACTGAGCGTCTGACCCTTGGTTTTGGCTCAGGTCCTGATCTCAGGGTGGTGAGATGGCGCCCCACGTCAGGCTCTGCACTCAGCGTGGAGTCTGCTTGGGATTCTCTCTCCCTCCCCTACTGCTCCTCCCCTAGCTCATGCTCTCTCCCTCTCTCTCTCTCTCAAATAAATAAGTAAAATCTTTAAAACTAAATAAATAAGTAAAAAAAAAATAATAAATAAATAAATAAGTAAAACTCTTTCCAGAAGTTCTTGCACATCCTGAATTTCTGGATGGATTGATGGATTGATGGATTGGCGACATCCCCAATGTGACACGGGATGGAAGAGACCCTTGAGGACATAGGTCATTGGTGGGCAATGGGGTTTGAGGGATGAGGGCACAGGTGGCTGGTAAAGAAAGCTTGGTGTGCAGTTGGGGGCGGGGAGTCAGGGAGGGGAGCAGCGTGGGAGTGGGGAGGTGCTGGTGCCAGACAGGACAGGAGTCACTGCCCCCCCGCCCGCGCGGGGCAGCTGATGGTGAGGATGAGCATGGTTTGGGGTTGACTCTAAAAAGTGTGTGAATTTTCAGGTCAAGGTCATGGTAAAGCCCTCCTTGAGAGCAGAGGCCCAGTTGTCTGTCCCCTGCCCCTCCCCCCTCACCTCTTGAAGGCAATATAGGCCACCAGGCCCACAACCACAGCAGCCAGGATGGAGCAGTAGACAGGGATGAGGTTGTCGGCAGTGCCTCGGGTCACTACGGGCTGAGAGCTGCCCATCACTGTGGTCACCGCATCTGTCACTGTGCTGGCTATGACGTCTTGCTCTGGAGGTCCCTCGGGCTCCTCTGTGCTGGGGGCGGTGCTGTCTGAGCCCTCGGAAGGCGTGGACCGGGTAATCCACCGGCCAGGGATCTCTGGAGGAGGGAGCTGCAGGAGTGAGGGCCCGCTCCCCACCCAGGCCCCTCCCCTGCCCTACTGACCAGCTGCAGCCCTTCTTCCCCAGGCCCTGCCTTGCGCCAGGCCGTTACACAGGGAGGGTGAGAGCCAGGATTGTGACTATGAGTCATGACGGTAGAGAAGAGCAAGGGCCTGGGTCCCCTTCAGCTCTGTCCTTGACTTACTGTGTGACCCTGGACCAGACCCTTCGCCTCTCAACACCTCAAATCCCCATCTATAGCATGGGGATGCTAAGAGAGACAGTCTCTAAGCCCCCTTGCGTCTGAGGTGCAGCTGGGACCCTAGGATTCTATTTTGCCTCCCCCGGTACCCGGAAGCCTGGCATGGAGGCAAACACACCCAGAAGAGAGAGTGGGCACCAGGAGGCCTCTAGCTGGCATCACTCTGGGAAAATGTCATACTCTGCCTTGTCCCAGTTTGTCCCAACAGTCCCAGTCATCCTGGTCCTAAGGAAGGATGAGGGTACTCAGGTCTGGACAGAAAGACACCTCCCCACAAACTACCTCCCCAAGAACTGGCACCCGGCCTCCCTGATGGTCTCTGATGCCCTAACTCTGGGCTTGGCCGGGGTAGAAGGTAACCAGCTGGCTGGCTTCCCTCCAGCTGGCCCTTAGCTAGCGGCTAGCCAGTTTCCGGTCTTGTGTGGCCCCCAAACCAAACCATGGGGTCTCGCCAGCCAGAGAAGATAGCCTTGGGTAGTCCCCAGCCTCCCTGGGCGGAAGCGGACTGTTGGTGGGGCAAAGGCCTCCAAAGAAGATGCTATCCACTGCCTGGGTGAGGGGGTGGCAGGGAGGACTGTGCCTTGCCACCCACCTTGGCCCTCTCATGTCAGTGGGCACTGCCAGCCTCCCTGAAAGGGGGCCTGGCACCTCCTGGCACCAGTGGGCGGGATTTTCCACTGTGCCACCCAGCAATGGGCTGTACCAGAGGCTGTGGCTCCAGACGGCCTGGGGGTACCCGTCTGGGCAAAGTTGCCTACCCCATCCGTCCTCACTTCCCACGCCTGGGGCAGGGACGGGCAGCAGACAGGACATGCCAATGGGGTGAAGGGGAAGCATTTCTTCCCTGGCTCCACCCCGTTTTGCCCACCCAAGTCGGAGTGGAAGCTGCCACTGGTTTCTCGGGCCTCCTCGGCTCAAGACGAAGATGGTTCAAAGGTCCCCATTTTCAGCACCTTCTGAGGGGTAAGGCCCCCCTGAGATGAATCTGGAATCCATCTGGCTGGCACTAGGGAGGGGGCTGCCATCTGCCACCCCATCTTCCCCCTCCCCCACCTCAGCCCTGGGGGGCAGCGGTAGGGCGGGAAGTGGAGACACAGCCCTGTCGTTTGGCAGCCCCAGACAGGGTGTTGGACTGGGGAGGGTCTTTTCTTGCCCTGCTAGGGGACTGGGCAAGCTGGTGGGGACTTCTGAGCCCTGAGGCTGAGAAACAACTGGCTATGACCCCCCTCCACCCCAGAAGCTGAAGGTATGTTGGGGGATGTTGGTAAGTCAGGCCATCACAGAGGTTCCAGAAATCTCAAAGGGGAAAGACTGGCAGTGGGCATTAAGGGACAGACCAGGCTGAAGACAGGAATGTGCAGGGCACTTTCTCCTCATCTCTCCAGTCCCCTTTGGGGCAGGGCTGAGCGGGGGTGGGGACAGCAGGATGAGATCCAGATGGGGCCATGCCCACCAGCATTCCAACCCCCTAAGCCCTTGGCGAGTCCTGACAGCCATTTCCGGAATGAGAGCTGTCAGACTTGAGGGTGGAGAGAGGGACCGGTTACTCCTAAACCCAAATTTCACTGGGGTGAGAGGGGGAGGAAGAGACCCCAAGGCTGAGTGAGTCACCATGCTGACACCTGAAATGTATACACAAGAAAGTACAATGTACTGGAGGGGTGGGGGGGCAACCAAACCACCATCCAGTTCCATTTCCTGAAGATTCCCTCTGCTTCCGCTGACATTTAACCCTTCAGAGGCTAGAGCAGAGAACAGAAGAGGGACAGGGATAAACACAGCCGTCAGGGGTACCCTCTTCCTTCAGGATGGCTGGGGGAGTAGGGTGGTACCTGAGAGGAACCTGTGAACACGTCCAAAGGCGGGACCCTCCCCTCCCCAGCCACCACCTTTCTTTGCTCTAACCGCGCCCCTGACTAAGCCCCCTGCTGGCTGGTCCAGACTTGCCCGTCAACAGTGCTGCCCGCCTGCCAGCTGCTGGATCTCCCTCCCTGCTCTGCCCTGTGCCTGACGCCACTTGCCTGTCTCCTGGCTGAGGGCGATCGCCACCGGAACCACTCTGTTCTGGGCCCCACTCCCCCAACCCCTCCCAACCCCCATGCAGGAAGCTTCACACACACACACACACACTCACACACACACACACACACACACACACCTGGCCTCAGCCCAGTTTAACCACCCTCCCCAGGTTGAGCTCCAGGAGCCAGGGATAGCGGGATGCAGAAGGCAGCCACGCTCCCCACAGCAGGGAAACTGTCTCCCCCATCTGACTGGGGATGGACTGAAGGCAGAGGCTGTGCTGCCTCCCCCAGAATGGGGGACCTCCTGGGACCTAAATGCTGGGATGTCTACCTCATCAGACTGGGGCAAGGGCTATCTTTTTCCAACAAACTTGGGGCTCCCTGAAGGAGGCACTGGTTGCTTAGAGTGAAGGCACCCTGAGGGAGAGGTCCCCAAGGGAAGTAGCTAATGAGGGCCCAGGCACGGGGGATGGACAGAAAATAAAGGCATTGTCCCAGGAACTAGGTGCACTCCTTGGGGCCCAAAGCCCGGCTAAGGTGAGCACACCAGTTCCTACCCCCCACCCTGGGGCCGACAGCCCTCCATGTGCCCCCATCTCCTCCTTGGGCTCCTGAGCCCTGGGTCTCCTGCTGCCTTCCTTCCTCTGCGCCCACCACCTCCTTAGCATTCCCTGAGTCCAACGCCATCCTCCGCTGAAGGGTAACAACCACTGTAGACCCCACCCCCAGACAACACCAGTTAAAGTGGGCCAGTCACCTTCCCTAATCCACGACCCGGGCATCGCTGAAAACTGTATGACCAATAAGGAAACTGAGGTCCAGTGACCTCCCCACCATCACTCAGCTAGTGACAGAGCAGATTCCATCCCAGATCCCAGAGCCATAAACCACTGTGGACCCATACCAGGCCTCCCAGCCAAAGGGTCCCAACTCCTGAGGGTCCTCAAGGCCCTTTTCCCAGCCCAGAGAGCCTGCTCAAGGGTCAGACATGTTCTGCACTGTGCTGGGCCACGGTGGCCACCTCCGAGTTGCTTATCTGTCGCTCATCCAACCCCGGGCGGGCAGCCACCAGCGAAGATAGCCCTGGAAACTGAGTTGGAGTGTAGTAGCTGCAGCCTGGGAGGAGGCTGGAGGCATTCCCAACACGCAGCCCATGGAAGGACGCGGTGAGAGGGGGTCCTTTGGGCCTGGGCTTCCAAGGAGGGCAGCGGCCTCCCCCACCCGCCCCGGCCTGGCGCTCCCCGACCCCCAGGGGGCGCCCTCAGCCCGGCGCTCTCACCCTCGCACTCGGCGTCTGCCCAGCGCGTGCACTCGCGCAGCTGGCGCTCGGTGTCCTCGCACACGGTGCAGGGCAGGCACGGGTCCACGTGGTTGGCCTCGTCGGAGTACGTGCCGTCGGGGCACTCCTCGCACACGGTGTTCTGCCGGTCCTGGCACGAGAACACGAGACCCGAACCCGCCTCGCACACGCGGCAGGCCTCGCAGCGGCCTGTCGTCTCGTCCTGGTAGTAGCCGTAGGCGCAGCGACACACGGCGTCGTCCGCCTCCACGCACGGCGCCGACATGCTCTGCAGCCCCACGCACTCGGTGCACGGCTTGCACGGCTCGGTGGCGCTCACCACGTCCGAGAAGGTCACGCCTGTGGGCAGATGGACGCGCGGGACAGCCAGGGGCCCGGAAGGTCGCCGCCCGCTGCCTGGGCACCAGGGATGCAGGGGCCGCTCCCCGAACCCTCGGGATCCCCCCCCGCCACATCTGTGAGATCTGCAGGCGGCCCAAGGGGAAGGAGGAAGGTGGGGGTAGCCAGGAGCCCTGGGTGAGGGAGGCCTGGAGTGTGAGGCTTCGCGGGTAACCCAGCTGGAGCCCGGTACATTTCTTGGCAAATACTCTTCGAGAGTTCCCAGCCCTGGACCCTTGTTCGCAGCGTGATTAAGGAATAATCTGAGCGTGGTTCCCACCCAGCTCTCCCCGGGGGCCAGAACTGGGCTGTCAACCCAACCCAGGCACAGGCGGGCCTTCACAAGGGAGCCTCCCGCCTCCGCTGCCCTTCTAGTCCTCTTCGCGCAGGTGGGGGCTCAGGTGTGGCCCGACCAGGGTTAGAGCGCAGAATTTCCCACCCATGGCGCTACCCCACGCTGTTTAAGGGCTTGGCTCCAGACAACGAAACAGCAGGAGGGATTGGAGCTGAGAAAGCAAGAAGGACTTGCCTGTATAGTCATCTGCCCTTCCCAGTGGCACAAAGGGGAGCTTTCCAAGCTCACCCTTGACTCATGCTCTCTTAATGGTTATGATGTCTGATAGAATAAAGGGAGGAACTCCAGGGGTCCTCTCCTCCAAGTGCAAGGAAGGGGAAGGCAAAGAGCCAAATCTTCTTCATCTCTACCCACCCAGGTGCAGAACTCTGTGCCAGTCGGAATGCAGAAGGATGTACCCTTGCTCCAGGGGCAGAAAGAGTAGGATTTAGGAACTGGGAGCCAGGGAAGGAGGGTGTGTTCAGCGTGTGGAAGTAGAAGTAAAGACTAGGATCCCATAAAGGAAAATGAAAGCCTGCCCTGGGTTCTGATCTCAGACTTCTCTAAAGGAACCAAGACACCAGGAGCACGGAGCCCTTATCTTCAGGGTAGGAGTGGAGAAGTGGATGCAAAAGAAAAGCAGAGAGAAATGAAAAGGAAAGCCGCTGAGGGGGAAGAGAAGACAAGACAAGGACGGGCCTGGAAGGAGACCAGTTTCAACCCAGTCCTGGCAGAGGATGAACCCCTGGGTCTCTCTTCCAGGGATGGGGCTGACTTGGACCCAAAACCTGCTTCCACCACTTATTAGCTGTGACTCTGGGTGTTTTCCTTCACCTCTTTTGAGTTTTTTCTTTCTCTGTAAAACAGAGAATAGTATCTCCACTCACAGGTTTGGGGTAGGGAATAAATGAAATTCTACCATAAAGCACTATACACACCACAGGGATCCTGCAAAGGTTGGGCCCCCCGGGGTGGACAATGGCAAGTCTAGTGAACTTGGGTCCCAGGGAGAGAGTCTGCAGAAAGAACTTCCAAATGCAGGACGTCCAGCTTATACAAACAGGAGGATTCTATCTGGTTGACATGTGGCAGGAGGTGCGTTTAGTCACACTGGAGGGGGAGAGAAATTGGGGGGGGGCTGCCCATGGGAAAGCACAGAAAATTAGTAGGAAACTCCTGGGAGACAGTTTTTGGGGGGGTGGGGAAAATGTGGTATTTTTTGGCAGAGAATGAAGGCAGGACCTTAATGGGTTTCCTTGTGGAAACGTTTTGAGGATAGAGGGAAAGTCCGCTGGGTTCTCCAATGCCATAAAGTGAGCTTATAAAGGCAGCCTGTTAACACAGCTGGAGGGGGGAGGGGAACAGGGGGAACAAATGGGAGGGAGGACTCCCGCCACCACCTCCTAGCTGGTCTCCAGCTTCTGTCCCTCGTTCCCCGGAGATGCCCGAGCCTCCCTCTTCCGGGCTCCTCTACCCCACCTCTTGCTTTGACAGAAGGGAGTGGGTTCCCATCCTGGGAGACTTAGGATCCAGGGCAGAGAGGACCTGGGTAGGAGTCTAGGAAATGAGAGAGGAGGTTTTAGTGTAGCCTACGGTCGGCCAGCCCTGTCCTGGGATGGAAACTCTGGGAGGCCAGGACAGGTGGAAAGGTGGCAAAGGCACAACAGAATGTCTAGTCTCTCCATCTAGGCCCAGGCCCTTCTCTGCTGTGGGATGGACTTACAGGACCCACAAGCACAGAGAAAGGAAAACTGTGACTGGGAACACCAAGGAGTTGGGGTTGCCAGACAGACAGGCTGTGTGTGTTTGGGGGGTGTGGTAGAGAGGAATCCAGATGTCAGACTAGGCAGATGAGTATAGCATTCCTAGTTCCTAGGGTGGAACCTGGAGGTCCACACCTGGGTGGCTCAGTTGGTTAAGTGTCTGACTCTTGATGTCGGCTGGGGTCATGATCTTGGGGTTGTGGGATCGAGCCCCGTATGGGGCTCCACGCTCAGCGGGGAGTCTGCTTAGGATTTTCTTTCTCTCCCTCTACCCCTCCCCACGGCCGTGTTCTCTCTCTCTCTTTCAAATAAACAAATAAATCTATTTTTTAAATAAAAAAAGAGTTCCCAGTTCCTATACCCTTGCTCCTATCATGATTAAAGAAGAATCTGGTATGGTTCCTACTGGCCCAGGTGCGCGGTGCGTGCCACCTAGAAGGCACGGTGTGACTAGGCAGGGAGAGGAGGTTTCTGGGCAGGAAAGGAGCACTGAGCCGGTGGCCTGAAGGCAGCAGCTGAGGCTGGGGACATCCAGCAGGGACAGAGAGGCCTGGGGCAAAAGCACACAGAATTCAGCCCCCAGACCTGCCGTCCTTCTGACGGCAGCAGCCCCGGAAAATGCCAGGTAGGACGGGCCACAGCAGCCCTCTCCCATCTGACACCACCCGACAGTGAGGACAGTCCCTGCTCCCGCTACCTCTGGAAAGCTCTGCTTCCTTGGTCAGAGCTGGGGGGACAGGTAGCCACACGCTCCCAGGATCCCCCAAGGTCAGTTTCCAGGGCAGCCAGGACTTGATCCTCCTCCTCTCCCCACAAACACACTGAGGGTAAGTGGCAGCCATTGATTTTACAGCGCAGATGGTATTTTTAGCTGGTCTCAGCCTCAGCTACTCCTCCCACCTGGCCACATTCCCCTACCAGGACTCCACCTGGGGGCTGGGAAGGGGCACCCCCGGGGATCCCTCATCGTGAGGTCCTCCTCCTCCCTCCAAAGACTTCCTCAGCCATTCTCAGTTTCCCTTCTCACCTCCTATACTGGGCCGGACCCATTCTGGTGCCCACACAGAGGTGGGGAGGAGACCCTGCCAGGAGGCAGAGCCCTTGTCAGGCTTCTAGTGGGCGTGCGTCTGCCAGGCCTGGCGCCCTCCCTTCCCCTCCAGCCCCTCCCCCAACCGCCCCCCCCCCCACCGCCCCGACCCTGTACTCACTGTCCAGGCAGGGCTCGCACACGGTCTGGTTGGCTCCGCAAGGCTGGGCCACCCCCTCACCCAGGTTGCAGGCTTTGCAGCACTCCCCGCTGAGGGTGTACAGGCCGGTGAGACATGCCTCCTTGGCACCTCCAAGGGACACCTGGGCGGGGGGATAGATGGGAAGGTCAGACCAACGAGAGAAGCAAGAGGGGGTGTCTTCCCAGAGATCAAACACCCCCTCCTAAAGTCTTCTATTGGAACCACCTGGGCCCGGATGAGCTCACCACGGAGGCATCAGGCACATCAAAGCTGGGGCCGGGGGAAGAGAGGCAGTCGGGGACAGGGTGTCCCTGCAGGCAGCCGGGGGTGTGAGGTCAGAGCCCCGACACTCACTTTCTACAGAGTTCATCTTGGGGTGATGGCAACTTCTGGAATCCTGAGGACACACCACATGGGGAAGGCAGCCTGGGACCCAGCAGTGGGCCGCTGGCCAGCACAGGGCTTCCCACCAAGGGGGCCCCTGGCAGGTAACTCTGGCCCAAATGCCTCTCCCCTGGAGGGATAGCTGCAGGGCTCTGTCTACACAGAGGGAAGCCTTTTTCTAGCAAAGGCTAGCAGGGCCCTCCTCTGGGTCCTTAATTCTACCGTTTCACATGTTAGTCAGTGAGCGGAGTCTGTACCCAAGAGCAGAAGGCAGAGGGCTGGGGTCATGGGTTAGAATCCAGATGCTTCCCTGGTGTCCTGGCCTGTTCTGCTTTCTCTTTCTGAGTCTTCCCTTCTCCTCACCCACAGAGACAGAGCCCACTTGGGGCCGATTGGCCAGAGTCTGGCACCAAGCAGGGAGAAAGGGGCGCCTGCTGGCTTCTCGCATCACCCAGCAGCCCAGTTCTACCAGAGTCTGATTTCCAGCCACCAGCCCTCTCCTCTCCCCGCCCCCACGCAGCCGGTGGGAACAGCGCTGGAACAGGGGAAAGGGGAGTCAGATTCCTGCCACCGAGGCATCTTTGCTCTTTGCTCAGGGATGGAACGATTTAGCACCAGATTCCCTGGGGGGGAGGGGGTGGAGAGTGCTGGCCGCTTGCTTTATGTTTCTATTCCTTAAAAAAATTCTTCGCGTCTAATAAAACTCCAAAGCCTGTTTCCCTGGCCTCAGACCATGCAGCTCCCATTTGGTACAAGGAGGAAGCATGGGCTCTGGGGTCATGGGACTAGAGCAGAGTGTTAAAGGTCCTTTTGGACATTCCTTGCTTCCATGTTGGCAAGCTCATAGCCAAAAATACTCCTTTTTCCCTCCAGCCCTTTAAAATATCCTGAGGTCTACCCAGGGTTCGGTGGAAGGAGGGGGCTGGACAGGTTGGATCTGTGTAGGAGGCAGCTGGTGGTCCTCAGGAGACCAGCAGGGAGGGTGAGGGCAGCACAGGATGGGGGTCCTGGGGTATTTGCCACCGTCTCCTCCCAGGTGGTAGGAACACGGGTCTGGGAACATCTGCAGACCAGAAACCAGGAGGGGTGGGGGCAGTGGGGGTCCCAGATGTAGGCTTTCCCCCAGGAGGGACAGAGAGACTCGGGAAGGGTCTGTTTGGATTTCTTTTCATCCTTGAAGGCTGATGCTTAAATGTCACTTCAAGGAAGTGATCTTGTAGCCCCACGCCTCCCAGAGGAGGCAGAGCAGCCCTGTGACATGTTTTCCAGGTTTACTGTGGGGGACATGTTGCAATGCCCCCCACTGGACAGTCAGCCCCTGGGCGGGGCAGGACTGTGGTTGCCCCAGCACCTGGTACCCAACCTGAATATTTATGGGATTTCAGAATGTGCAAATACAATAGCGACCTCAATTACCTAGAACTCCGGGCCGGGAAATGTAGGATGGGGGTGACTTTCAGGATAGCTGAATTTCCCAAGAATTGAGGATTTGCTGCTCTGATCACCTAATGTTTTTCATGTTAACCACAATGGCTGCACCCTTCTCATTCCGGAATATATGTTCACGGTTTCCGCATGACTCAGGGGGGACTCAGTGATGATTCTGGCGATAGTGCAGCGAAGGCCTCGTGTTCTTTACCCCAAATCACCACCACACTTTTGTCTCTGAGTTCTTATCAGCCTTTTTTTTTTTTTTTTTAGCGTTTCTCTCTCCCTCCTTCCTGTCAAGATATCAGTTGTCAGTTTTTGCCGACACCAGAGTATGACCTGAGCAGCCCCTCCTCTACCATTCTAACTCATTAGGTCAAACTGGATGTAGAAACCGTGTAACTAGCCTGGGCAGGAAGGTGTACATCGGGAGTGTAGGTGGGATCTGAACCGGCATGGGGTGGGAGGGGAAGGGGGCATTCTCGGAGTAAAAGGTGTAAGCTATTCTGCCTTCCTCCTCGGTGGTCCCTGTGGCTCTGGCTCATGGCTTAGAGCTGGGTGATCTGGGACACGCTGAAATCTCTTTGTGCCTCAGTCTATCTTTAGGTAATGGTGACAGTACCTGCCTCATCAGATGCTGTAGACACCAAATGAAGGTGTTCACACACTTCAGGAGCCCTCTGTTTTCTTTCCCAAGGTCTTTCTTGCCTCGTTTGTGGCTGCTGGCTGGGGTCCCGTTGGTTGAGCTCAGCAGAGAGATGAGCAGTGGAGAGCTGAGGGGGTCTGTCCGTGGCACTCGAGCGGCCTCTGCCTGCCCCTCTCCTTTGACGCCTGCTCTCTGGGCGACAGCCCTCCATCCTTGCTCTTCTCCCAAGTCTTCCATTTGGACTCCAGGCCCCATAATTAGTCACCATGTGTTTCCTGTGCTTGTTTTATGTGTTCTATTTCAAAACACCCCAGACCTGCTACCTAACGGTCTGCAACTTTGGGGCAGTTCCCAGTCTCTCTAAGCCTGTATTCTCCCATACAAAACATTGGATCGGTAATATTTACTGCTCAGGGTTGTCATGAAATTTACATGAAATAATTTATGCAAGTCTGTCCAGTGTACAGTAGGAGTTCCATAAATGTTAGCTATCAGATAAGTGTCTTGTCGCGGGCTGGGCTGCTGAGCCTGGCTGGGAGGCAGAGGAAGGGGGGAGCTGTAGTCAGGCCCAAAGAGAGGAAACTACCTAAGAGGTGGGGCAGGACAGACATGAAGAAAGACCCACCAGGAAGAGTCTGAAGAGGGCAGGGGGACTAAAGGAGAATGGGAATTGCTCTCCTTACAGTTAATTAATTAACAACCATTTATTAGTTAACAACTATTTGCTCAACATTGAGCTAAGTGTTTCCAATGAGACATGGTCCCCAACTCCCCACCCCCACCGTATCTTCCCCCATCCCTGCTCAGGGAAATCACAGTCCCATGAGGGAGAGGAGAGATCACTCCACACAGATACTCCAGAAGCCAAGATGCTGAGGGAAAAGGACTTGAGGGACTGCCTTCACCTCCTGTCTGACAGCTGGGGAAACTGAGGCTCACAGGGGCAATTCTGCTAAGTGGCTTCATGCCTCGCCCCTGCCACACCCTCTACTGGTCCAGGGTGGGGCAATCTTGGGAAGCAAGGAGGGATGACACGGATTTAGGCTTATTGCTCCAAAGCGATCAACTGACCCATGTGCCTGAAATCTACATTTATTACACTCACTCATTTCCAATTTGATGGAATGATTTCATCCCATTGTTGAGAATATCTGCAATCCTCTTGCCAGTTCAAGGCTTCCAAAAAAAGAAGGTGGAATCACCCTTAGAATTGTTAACTTTTTAAAACCTTAAATTTTTTAAAGAATTGGACAAAATAGAAAACACACCAAAATGGTTGAAAGAATTTGAAACTCTATGAATGCTTCAATGTGACAAGCTCTAACCATTCACAACAGTTTCAGCAAAGGGGTTCCTTAGGTGAATGGAGGCATTAGCCACCACCATGGGGAAGAAGAGTGTTCAAATATGTGGAGGGTCTTTTGAGGTCAATGCAAACCCGGGGAGACGCTGGCACATGCGCTTTACTCCCTTAGATAGCGGTTGAATTTGAGGTAGGAGACAAGCTAATTAACTGAGGATGAGGCTGTAGGAAGACTTTGAGAGGGGCCTGGGGACTATGGGGGGGAAGGGGCGCCAAATGAGTGGCGCCAAGGACATGAGACACAGATCTAATATTTAGGGCTAGTGATGGTTAAGGTCCTCCTGTCCCGTGATCTAGAAGGCTGGGGCCGGGCGGGCGGTGGCGGATGGGGGTGGGGGAGACACTGTCCACGGAGGGCAGAATAAACCCCAAGCTGAACATTCTGGGTTCCAACAAGGGCGCCACCACGCACGGACGGGGGAAGCCTGCTTTCACGCCCGGAAGTCTGAGAGGTTCAACTCCCTCAACTGTAAAATGGGAATAACTAGATTTACTCTGCAGGGATCTTACACGGATTAAATGACGCCAAGAGACATTACCCAGGGCAGTGCGTGGCACATAGTAGGCGCTCAGCCAATTTTATTATTTCGACCTCCCTGCCCCGCACACCCCCACACCCCGGGAAGAATCTAGGCGCGTGAATGGGCCCGGACTGGTACGGGGGGGTGGGGGGAGACCCCAATTTCCATCCCGGAGCCGCCCCCCCCCCCCCCCCCCCCGGGCCCCCCCCCCCCCCTCCCGCCTGGCTGCTCCTGTCCGCCCATTTGCTGCCCTCGTTGCATCCCTATTAGGCGCATTAGCCAGCCGGGCGGCTCCGGTTACAGACGTCTGAATGACAAAGTGCCTCCATTACCGGCGCGGCCCGCCAGCCGAGCCGCCGGGACGCGCTCCGGTTTCAGCACTCCATCGCCGCGGCGCAGGAAGAAACTCGGACCGCCGCGGTGCGCACAGCCAGCCCGCAGACAGCAGCCCGGCGAGGCGGAGGCAAGCGCCGCGGGGGCTGCGGGCAGCCCGCTCTCTGCGGGGTCCACCTTCCCGAGCCCCCAGGCCCTCCGCGCCCAGCTCCCCTCTTCCCTCGCCTCTCCTCTTGGTGGGGGCACTCTTCCCAGCCCCCGTCCGCAGCCCACGCTCTAGCCGCTCTGGGGGCCGCACTACTGGCCGCCCCAGTCCCACCTCCCCAGTCAAGAGCATCTCTAACCCCCTGTGTTAGTCAGCAAACCGGCCCGCAGTCCCTCCCAAATCTCCAGAGAAGCCACAGGTACTGACAGCTCCAGAGGGCTGAGCTTCGGGGATGGGGCCAGCGTCCAGAGAGGGTCTCTGCCCACCCCAGCCCCCCAGAGTTCCACCGCCGGCCGAGAAAGGCGGCTCTTGAAAGGCGCCGGGTGCACCCCTACGGGGAATGGGGTGTATGGGGGAGTATAGGGAGTGCCGCGCTGGGAATCAGGCGCGGCACAGCCTGGCTAGCACTCTGGTTTAACTTGCTTTGAGATCTTGGCCAAGTCGTTTAAACTCTCAGAGCCTCAGTCTTCCTCCCTGCAAAATGGGGGTTGGGGTGCAACGCTCAGAAAAAAAATGAAGACAGCAGGGAGAGTGAGGACTCCTATTGCCAAACTCTGTGGCACTCCGTTCCTGGGCCCACACAGGTCACACCTCCTGAGTGTCTTGGGACTACGGGATGGACTTAGATGCTTAAGAGAATCCGCAGTCCCCTGCGGAGGCGGAATCTGCGGCGTCTGAGCGCCTCCGTTCGGTTCTGTGCCCAGCGTCTTCCACCAAAAGCTGGGGGCGGGGAGGGTTGGGGCGCGTGCGGAATCCCGACCCGCCTGGGCGCTGGACAGTGAGAACTGCGGGAGCTGAGCTGGGGCTGCTTAACTTAATGGGGGGTCCGAGTGGGAGCGCGGCGCGCAGCCCCAGGCTCGCCCGCAGCGGCAGACGGCACAGCCCTCGCCTCTCAGCGCCCCCTGCGGGCCGCCTCGGCAGCCGCGACCCCGGGCTGCGCGCGGCCGGGACCTTCCCCGCCTCGCGAGTCCCGGCGCTCTGCACCCTGAGACTTGGCTGCGGCCAGACCGGGTGGCACGATGCCCGCTCCATCCCTTCCGGTCCCCCGCGCGGCTTCAAACCTCCAGAATGAGCGCGTCGGCGGACCCCGCCGGGCGCAGGAGAGGCAGGGAGAGGGTTCGTCCCGGCGAAGTGGGCGCTCCCTTCCCGGCCTCGGATCCCCAGCCGCAGTTCCTAGACTGGGCGAGGCCGCAAGAAAGAGCGCGCGACAGGCGCGGGAAACGTCCGTCCCTCTGCTCTGCCTGCTCGTCCCACTGTCCCTCGGCGGGCAGGCGTGGCCCCGACCACTTTGGGGTCAGCTCTCCCTTCTCTGCCCTCTTGCATTTTATTGGCATCTCTCTCCCTCGCTGTCGTCCTTTTTCTCCTCTCCCTAACCCATTTCTCTCTCTTCGGGCGACCCCCGCTCCCCGAAGTCTCCCTCCCACACCCCTCCCCCCCCATTGTCTGGCTGGCCCTCATTGTCCGATGCCCGGTCCCCTCTGCCTCCAGTCCCTCCGACCTCCCCCATTGTTCTATCTCCTTGTCTCTGGTTCCCCGCCCCTGCCCCGCTCGCCCCTCATATCTCTAATCCCGGTCCCATTCCTCTTCCTTCAGCCTGGGTTCGGTCCCACGACCCTCCAGAGATCAAGATGCTCAGGAAGAAAGTCGCCTCGAGGTCTCAGCATCCAAACGCCCTCTTCAGAACCCAGACATCTGAGAGACTCCTCTCAGCTCCTCCACACGCACCCTCCGCCGTACCTGAGGACGCGCATCCGTGCGCCCCTCTCTCCCGCATCTCCACCCTTGGCCTCGGGTCGCCCCTGCGCTCTGAGAACCCTAGACGCTCCTCCGTGGATCCTGGCTGCGGAGCTCCTCTCCCGCCATCCATCCCCAGCATCTGGGACCCCAAAGCTCCCTTCTGTTTTCCCTCGGGAAACCTGAACCCACTGGGGTTCCAGTCCTGGGAGAGGGCGCGAGTTGCCCTCCAGCTAGCACTCACCCCCAGGAGCAGCAGCAGCAGCAGCAGGCGCGGCCCGTCCATAGCGCAGCCGGAGGCACCTGCCCCCATCGCCCGCCTCCCGCGGCAGCGCTCGGCTTCCAGTTGAGTCCCGTCCGCGGACGGATAGGGCTGCGCTGCGCTGCGCTCCAGCGCCCGCCCCCCAGAGCTGGCTGAGGCTCCGCTCACTCTGGCTGCGGGCGGGAGGGGCTGCGAGAAGCCAGTGCGGCGGCCCCGCCTCCTCCCCGCCCAGCCCGCCCACCCCCGGAACCGCGCCCGCCGGCCGGGTGGCTTCGGGGAGTGGAGAGGAGGGGAGGAGAGGAGAGAAGAGGGAAAGGGAGGAGGTCTTGCGCGGAGATTCGCGCCCGCGCGCCCCGCCGCCGCTTTTCCGCGCCCCGGCCCTCGGAGCCTCTGGAGACTCCGCCCCGGTACCCAGTGCCGGGTCAGCGCTCGTGCGCGTTGCTCCCGGATGCTGTGGGCTCGGGGACCAGGGCTTCCCCTCTGCGGCTCCAGCTCCTCTCCGCTGCAGACCCCCCACAGCGTTCCCTGTCTTACCCATCTTCCTCTGCCTCCAGCTTCAGCTTCTTCCCGGGGGTCCTGCTCCCTACCCAACCACTGTCAGCAAGAATGCCCCCTGCCCGCCCCGCCCTTCATCTCCTGGTCCATACCAGACCCCTACCTCTGTCCCTTCCCAGTGCAAAGTCCTAGGAGAAGGGGAGGGGAGACGTAGCAGGTGGCCTGACCATGAAAGTGAGCAGAAGGGACATTAAGGTGGGATGTTATCTGAATTCTCAAAAGATGGGTTTGAAGGGGTTACAGGTGTGCACACAGCCATAGGAATACACCCGCTCTCAAACTCACATATATATGTGCTTACCCACTACGTGTGTTCACACTTCCCTCATGCATTCATGTAAACCTGTGCATTCTACACATGCATGTGCACCCACACACTCATGCACATTTGCACACTCATTACACATGTGGTTATAACATTCAAACACACACTCACCTATACATTCATACATGCATGTGTACGTGTGCAGTCATCTCCACACAAGCCCTCACATGCACAGTCTCTCACAAGTGCACACATTCATGAACACGCACACCCATACACAAACATACACTTACAGCCCCAACAATATAGCCTTCACTAGACTGTATTTCCATTGGCTTATGAGCTCCCTGAAGACAGGGACTACAGTTTCTTATCTGAATGCCTGGTATACGGCAGATGTTCAATGAAGGCCTGTAGAAGGGAATAAAAGGAAACATGGTTGGATAGACTCATAACCATGTACCATGTACTATCCAAGCATCCCTGGGGCCACACTCACCATGCTCTAGAAACCACAGCAGGTCCCAATCACCGGCCCCTGGCAACCTAGGGAGAGTGCTACCAGTGTTTCCGTGGGAAACACCCCCACCTCAGTACTTACTCCCTGCTTGTCCCCACCCTGTCCTGATCCCCTGGCAAAGAGGCCAAGGAACAGAGCTTATAAGGGACAAGTCTACAAAGCCTATCCCCACACCCTGATCTTAGCCATGTGCGGACCTCAGTTTTGAGTTAGAAAAAAAAACTCTACTGCCCTCCCACGTTATAGGAAGGGGGGAAGATCAAGTGCACTTGTGAAGCGAGCACCTAAATGGTTGGTAGGTGATTCCCTAGATCGGCTGAAGCTCATTTATTCAATCATGGGGGGGGCGGGGGGAATCTGCCCTATGAATGTCTTTCCTGTGTATCCAACAAAGTCCAGGGGACGGCCTCAGAAAAAACAGGTAGACATCACTGTGTCCTTGAGCATGAGCGTGGACGATCCACCGCTTCCAAGGCCAGGCAGCTAGCCCTTCTTCAGGAATCCCTGAGGAGTTCCTCTCCCAGACAGGGACCACCTCTAAACTGTCTCCTCCTCCAGCAGCTTTTATAGCTCGGTCTTTCCTCTCCGTCAAGTTCATGGACGGCAGGAAGGGACAATGTTAGTAAGAACAGCGGCATCAAGCTGCTTACTACCAAGGGTATCGACAGTGTGGCATTAATTTAAATACTCCTGTTATTAATTTATGATCCCGGTTACTCTTATTGCCAAGGTTATCCATCTCAACACGATTTAATATGACCCACACTACCATGGCTGGGCCTGGGTTATTAATAATTTCCATGGTTTTGATCATTTAAGCCCTACTCAAACAATTACAAACAGCAATTGTTACTATTATTAGCAGTATTTCTATGATTAAGCCTGAGCGCAAGACCATGATGGAATGCTGAGAGCTGGTGGGGAGCGCGGCTGCAGAGTGCTGGGGGAGAGAGAGAGCACCAAACTGAGAGTCGGATAGGCCTGGCTGTAAACACCTACATACTCTACCCCCCGCCACACACACACACATCACTCACTACCCCCGTGTCTCAGGTGGGTTATGTCATCGCTCTCAGACTCAGTATCTTCATCCATCAAGTGGGAATGTCTTTAGAAAGATCTTGGGGTGCCTGGGTGGCTCAGTGGGTTAAGCCTCTGCCTTCAGCTCAGGTCATGGTCTCAGGGTCCTGGCTCTCTGCTCAGCGGGGAGCCTGCTTCCCCCTCTCTCTCTCTGCCTGCCTCTCTGCCTACGTGTGATCTCTGTCTGTCAAATAAATAAAATCTTTAAAAAGAAAGAAAGATCTTGAATGAGCACAGTGAAGAACAAACAAGACAACATAGTGTTCATCACCAGGAGAGACTTGAGCTCTTTGCACTCCTTTGGCACGTATTTATTGAGCACCTACTGTGTGCCCCACACTGTTGAAGGCACTGGGGATCCAGCAGTGAATAGCCCTCACGGGCTGTCCCAGGGGCTGGTTATTTGATGTGAAGCATGATTTCATAATGTGGCATCTTGGCCTGACTGTGCTGTGGATAGCATGGCTGTGATCAGGATGTTCCTCTACGGGGACCATCACCACGGCTGTCACCATCAAGGCCACCTGTACCAACATGGTCACCATGACACCAGCATCACTGCCATCACTACCACACCCACAGTCCTCCCCGTCACTATTGTGACCACACAATTAATTGTCACCACCATCACCGTCATCGCCACGACTGCAGGGCCACGGCCACCAATGCCATCACCTGGTATCCTGCATCTGCACCACTACCCAGCAGAGATTCCTCTGCCTGATCAGTGCGGGATCCCTGGGTCTGTCCCTTTGCCTTGGAACAATATTGGAGGCCCTACGGCACCGCTGGTGGCCTTAGTCTATCTCCCTAATGGTTGTGACTCCTGACCCCACACACGAGTGTCTTTCCAAAATTTCTCCCTCAACCTGGCCCTCTGTCCCCAGCCCTCCGCACATAGAGCCAGGGCTGTGGGATGGGGCGTGGGGAGTGGGCTCTTAGGAGCTGACCAGCAAGTGAGATCAGACAGGCAGAGCTGGGGGACAGCCGCTCTCATTGGAGGGTCCCCCAGAACCACTTCCTGTAACAGCTGCACATACAGAGGGCCCGGCCCCCACCACACATGCTCTGAGTCTTCCTGAACTCAACGGTGAGCCTAAGGGGAGAGAGTGGAGAATGTCAATGCCATTGACATGGGGCTGGGAGGGGCAGTGCTGGTCCAGCTTCATCTTCAGACATCAGAATGGGAGGGCTTTGGCCCTCCTCCATCACCCTGCCTCCCCCATCACCCTGCTCCCTTGGGAAGGCAAGCTCCTAAACCATGATCCCTGTCCTCCAGCCCTGTTGGGACCCCTCGCCCCAGGCCCCCTGCAGGATGTCACTCACAGATCCCTGTACACATCCCCAGCAATCACTGGGGAACCAGCCTGCCTCCCAAACCAGACCATGAGAACTCACATCAATGGAGACATCCTATGGGTGGGGAGCGCTGCACATTATCTCCTTTAATTCCCACTGTCTTCCCATGACGGAGATGCTGGCATTGCCATTTTATAGATAAGTGGTTGAGGCTTGAAGTGGATAAGTCACTCGCCCAGGACCCCCTGAAAGGAACCAGTGGTACCATAAATGGCCAGTGTGAGACACCAGGCCCTCCATGCCCCACTGCTAACCCTCAGGTCCTGGTCCCTCTGTCCATCCCTCCATCCCTGCCCCTCCCGTCCGCACTCGGAGTTGGGGAGCTGGAACCTGCCTGTCAAAGCGGCTGTACCCTGGCCCTCCATACTACCTACCACTCACGCTCCCAACCCCGACACGCATTCACAGAACCTGGGCTTGCAGGGGGCTCCTGGTAGGATGGGTGGAGACAAGCCAGGAGATGGTCTTTGTCTTTTGATCCGAGACATGATTTCAAGCTCACTCAGTGAGTGCTCCCTTTTCCTGCTTTGGGGGAATCGTCTCCCCTATCCCTCAGTTCCAAAGACCAACCAGAGAAGGGGTGAAGGGAGGTGGGCAAGAGGATGACAATTTCCAAGGGGGAGAGGAGTGAGGCGGGGGTTGGGTTGCCGGGCCTCCCCCAGCTGCATCCCATCTGCCCTGGGCAGGCGGCCAGGCAAGGTAAGTGAAACCCGCTGCCCCCCATTAGGAGCTGGCTCAGTGGCTTTAAAGCGTGATGCAGTGATTACCTCTGGGCTGCCTCCTGGGCTGTAACAGGGTCCTGACCAATGAAGGGGGCAGGGTGGGGCCCTGGGCCAGGTCTGGGTTGGTGCTGTGGGGGCTGCATTCATAGTGCAAGGGGCAGGAGAAATTAGCCTGTTTTGGAGTCCAGTTAGATTAACTCGAGCATCCAAGTGGGCTGGGCCGCAGTGCCCTCCCTCACCGCCTGCGCCAGCCTCGGAAACCGGAGGCCGGCCTTCCCTTCGCTGTGCTATCCTGCAAGGACCCCCACCTGACCCACATTCTTCAGCGACTCCCACCCCCAGGCCCTTGCATGGGTTCCTTGAGAGTTGTCTCCTCTCTTCCTTTGACATACTTTCTCCCTTTGAATCAGTCAAGGCTTCCATCTTCCCATCTGCCCTGTTCCACACCCATATCTCTCACCAAGGGATCACAAGATCTGATCAGACATAGGTGGTGGGGACTTCATGTCCCCAGACTTTGTGTCTTGGAGAAGGGGAAGCCCAGAGACGGCAAAGCTATCCCTGAGTGCTTGAGCGGGAGTGTTCCCAGCCTTGTAGTGAGAGCACAGGGGGAGATTCTGG